CACTAATAATGGATTTCATATTGGATACAAACTGAATATAAATCAATCTCAAGCCCAGGACTTATCGCAAAACAATCAATCTCCTTGATGATAACTATTATGCAGAACTTGGAATTGGTAGGTTTGATCATGGTGGAAATGTATATGGTGTGCTACTCAGGTATCTTGAATTCGTCTTCTGCGCATAACGTCATTGCAAGTCTATACTCGCAACAAAATGATCACGGCATCTCGGGCGAACTGAAAACTGTGAGCTCAGACTGCTAGCAATGGGCGTGTACACCTTAGTAGAACTTTGAACTCAAACCATGTTTATAATGATCCTTTTGTACATAAATAATGATTGACGACATAATTCGATCGAAAAATTAACTGATGGAATGTTTTATTTTTGAACATAAATAATAGTACCTTCTCTAAACGGACCCTCTTATGACGTAGAAACCTCATCTCGCCATAGTTGAAAGAAAATACCAAAGCCCGACGGAGACTGAGGCAACTGATATATATTCTTTCAACTGTGATCTCGCGCTAATTCACTCTGTCAGAAATCATGTATTCATCTCTGTCTGGAATAGTCTTGTTTCAGTATTAGGGTTTTGACGTCACATCATCGCCTCGTTTTCAGAGGTCCGAAAAATCGGGGATTTCAATAATTTTTTATAAAACGTAGGGAGCTCACAGCAAGAAACGGTTTGCGGTGGCGAGCTAGCTTGGGTGAGTTCTATCGAATTATGAAATAAATTTTTTTTGTGATATAAGCCCATTGTTTTACACGCAGTGACGTATTCGAAGATGTGTCGTAGCACACCATACTAATTCCACCATGGGTTTGATGAATTTGACAGCGGTCTAAGTGAAAATGGCTATTCTCGCTTTCCTCTCAGGAAATTGCCTTGAAAATAAACGGTACTGCTAATCTTTGGTAGAAGTCCATACTGCTCAAAGTGGAGTGAAATTTTTCAAAGCAAGAAATGCTCGAAGTCATCTCCATAAATTTTAATGGTTTCACACAATCAGAAGGGACATGTTTCGGTGTTATAAAAGACCGCCTTCAGACTAATCAAAAGTTTTGGAGTTGAAAAAGTGTGATGCTACTAGCTGTAAAATTGTTGTTCATGCCCATGGTCGAAATATAGAGTTTAAGCAATTAATAAATGAAAGGCCCCATTCCCTGAGAGCGCATACACTTCATACTATATAAATTTCATATACCAAAATGGTATATGAAGGGTAATTGCCAAACAAATTTGACAACACCATAAATTAACGGGTTTTTACAAAAGGGGTTCCTCGTGCCCTTATGGAAGCGCTACTAAAAAGAAAATATCCATAAAATTGATGGGACACACGACATCCTGCACTGAGATGTTCATAATGCCTGCACGTTGCCTCCTCTGATTACGTATGCAATCACTGCAGGATGCAAATTTATCTTGTATGTCCCAGAAAAATCTGTGCAACCTGTGTCGAACAATGGGAGGAACAACTCCCAACAAATTTTTCCCCATGATTTTTTTCTGGCGAGTGGACTAATATTGAATCATTGGCATTCAATTACTCCACTGCGTCGTTAGGGACAAATTAATTTTTGCAACACTTTCTCACGCTTTTTTTATGTGAATAATGAGTCTATGCGTTGTTGGACATTGTTGAATTTCAGAGCTCATTTCAAACGTACCGTCATGGCCGCCATTCGGCGATACGTCGTCGAATAAAGGTGACGTTAGTTCTTATGCTGTTTCGTTATTGGTCAGATAATCGTTCATTATTCCCACTCATGAAGCAAGGTTGTCAAGTCACCAATTATAATCAAGTTATCAAAAAGATGTGAGAGTTCTCGTTGAATAATACATGATAGGAGGAGCCCATGCTATTATAGTTGATTATCGCTTCACTCGTAGTAGTTGTAGTTTCTCAATATAAAGAAGGAAGGAATATCATGTGTTGTGGGTGACGTCACTTGACCTCGATGTATGAAGATTCGCTGGTCTAGCTAGGCGCTTGTCTGACAAGACCACGCCCACAAGTCGGGCGCCGTGTTGTCACGTTTACCCAATCGAGCGTTTATCGGTTCAAATGACCTCTAGTGTGAATTAATATAATTATTATTCTCACAAATGTATTAAGAGCAATGAGTCACAACACATATATGAGGGAATATTTTGAGAAAATTGATTTTTAAATGCTAATTAGGAATCTTATCAATACATAATTGAATTTATGAATTATTATGGAGTAACATTGACATTTATTCCCTGATCATTTTCCACTGTATTCTTCATCAGGACAGTCCGAGGGAGGGTATCTGTGCTAAGTTATTGATATTCACGCACATGACAATTGTTTCGTTCGTGAATTTCGTAAAATAAAGAGGTTCAAATCACCGTTAGTTCCAGCAATTCCTGCAGGACTTGGAAACACAATTTTTGACGTATGCTCTGTCTCAGTAAGGGAAAGATGTTGAAACGATTCTATGAGTTGAGAGAAAGAAAAACTTCCATGGATACGAAAAACAAACCCGAACTGGTCTTACCTATGGGAGATGATGCATGAGCATCTGATTTCGCATTTCTAGTTGATGTCACCAATTACCTGAAGGAGTCTTATATGAGTCTACAGATAACCGGTCAAGTTGCCCATGTAGCAAATTCACCCATGTGAAATATTGTTAAATCAATCTTCGGTTGTGGAAGAACAATCATATTCGTGAGAGAAATACATATGCTGCAAATTTCGACCGTCATCTGATATCTAATTAAATGATATAATTTTCCAGAGGCATGTAAAACCATTGTAGTTTATCGAACGGCACCTGTTCCAATCACAATCCTGAGCAAAATGATTGAGAATTTGCACTTTCCTGTGTGGAAATTTGCACTCGATTTTCGCGATTTGATAACGAGATAAGAATTATATGCCATCCGATACCAATTTAATGGTAGATTTCAAAGACCTACCTGTGCCACCCCTCAGTCTGAGCCCAATCCAAATAAGGCACAGCGATTTATTTGATGTCATAATTACGTCATGTAATAATGAGTTGAAACATTTATGATGATATTGTCAAGAATGGATAAAAACTATAATTTTATTGAGAATATTTGAAATTCTCATTTCATTCAAGAACAGTACAATAACCGAGTCTAGATCATATTCTTAGAATTATTTAGCTTACAGGATATCAGTAGAGAATTACGATATTCAAAGGAAATTATAGTTCCGATTTCAATTTTATTATTATTCAAGTAAAGTCGCTGACGGGTAGAAACTGCTGGTTTTGGATTTTTCCTAATCGAGGTGAATACACTAGTTTTTATGCTGAATCAATTACCACTACCAAAACCAAGATGAAAAAGTATTAGAGAAAAAACCGGCAGTTGTGGTTCGGACAGTGGACCGAAAAATCTTTTCAAATCTTCTAATAGAAGTAAATCTCAAACTTATTTGTATCATGTCTAAACTTCGTGAGTGGCAGTTCCAATCCTCCAACGAAAAGCGAGCCCTTCTGTAAGTACCTTTTTTGAGTATTACTAGTTTTAGTTTTCCTGTTTTGTTTCGATTTGAGTTAGATGTATCTTGCTGGATAATTAATGGTCAATTTATTTCATGCCCTATAATTGTTTTTATTCAAAATGAATAAACTTGTGAAGTGGAGTTAAATTATTTAGTTATCATTTTCAAAAAAAACCTCTTGCGAGCGAGTAAGTTCGAGTTGCGAAAGTGGGCGTTAGAGCCACTCGTGACAATATGTCGCCTTTGCGAATATCCAAAAGTGCCGCGATTTAAACTGATTCAAGTTAGTGGCAGAGCGTCAATACTTCTTAGAATATATGTCGCTCCCTCTAAAGATAATATCCGATGGACCAGTGTGAAGCTCAACATGTGGATTAGAATACTTGTAGTGTGAGCACCACATGAGTTTCACACTGGTCCTTCGGATATTATCTTCCGACGAAAGCGAAATATTCACCGAATAATTGACGCTTTGCCACTAACTTAGACCAGTTTGAATCGCGGCACGTTTGAATATTCGCAAAAGGGAAGTTTCTCCCTTTCATTTGCTTTTTGTTTCAACTCGTTATCACATGATATGGAAGTATGTCCGGAATAATAGGAGCTAATAAATCACCGTGTTGTGGATTTGGCTCAGACTGAGAGGTGGCACAGGTAGATTTTTGAGAATTATCCAATTGGTATCGGATGCCATAATTCTTATCTCTTGATAAAATTTCCGCACAGGAAAGTGCAATTTTCTAATCATTTTGCTCAGGAAAGTGATTGTTACAGGTGCCGTTCGATGAACAACAATGTTTTTACTTTCCTTAGGGACATATATCATTTCGTAATCAGATGACGGTAGAAATCTGCAGCCGGCTCTCCTACTACTAGCTACTCATCAAAATTTTGATAAGAATACCTTAGAACAGGAACTATCTTCATTGAATTCGGAATTTACATCCAGAACTGAGGATTTTCGTTCATGTCAACCTCAATTTCAAATATTCATGAATCTGTTCCGGACGTGAAGATCCAAATTTAATAAATTTTGATTGCAAAATGATGTCTCTCTTCGGCAGTCCTCATTGCTGTGAGCAATTTTTCTCAAAAATTAATTCAACAAAATCCGAAAATAGAAGATTATTGATAATAATTTAGTAAACTCCTCACGCATAGCAACATTATTACATTCACCAATTATTGCATTTGCTGTTGTTAGAGTTGTAGGAATATGCATAACTATAGATGTTATTTGATGAGTGATATATTAAATATTGAAGATTGTTTTTGTTCTGGCCTGTGGTTGCTGCTGAATTTGTCTATTCGGCCCCTTAAACAAAAAGGTTTCCCAAGCCTGTTGTAGAATATACTATTCTGTTTGAAATTATTATGTGATTATCATAGTCGATTGCATGCTACCCAGTAATTTCAAGCCCATTTTCCAAAGGTTTATATTACATAATAGTGCTCACAGAATGAGATCTATAAGTACGGAGGTTCCAAGTTCATTATAATCATTTATTAATATTATTGTACAGTAAATATACAAATGAAATGAAAACTGTATAGATATATAACTTTAATCTTTTCAATTAATACTTATCCAATTCTAGTAAACAAGTGCAAAAAGTCACTCGTCTACTAGACGCAGTTAACCTTAAAATTAACAATTCATATAATGTATACACTTTTCATTTATTCATAGTCGATCGTAGTCATGGATCAAGACTTTCACGAATTGTGGTGCAAATTTTGGTTCATTACAGGCCGACCTTCCAGTTTGCTGTAGTCAAGGTAGAATTCCTTGGCGACCTTCCTCCAGTTTTGGGCATCGAAAAAGTAGTACGTTCCCCTCTCGTATGTGGAAGTCTTTTCCATGAGGACCATGCCGGGGACTTGGGTGATCCACACTTTTTCTTCCGTGTGGTACCTCCATTCTCTGCTATACCTGATTTCAGAAAAATCGGAATGAGCTCCTCTTTGAAGCAACCAGCTTAGCCTATGCTCAAAGGGAAAATAAGTGATCCAACCTAACCCAATTTTACCTTCACAGCATGGAGTAACATAACTTAAAGATGACCAAGGTCTAAATGAACTTGTGAAAATAGGTCATTTCACAAAAATCACTCGAATAAGGATTACAAAATAATGAAAATATCAATACACTGTGTACTTGCTCAGAAAGTATCTCATATCATAGCATAGCGCTGCGAAAGAGAAAACAAACTCTGCACGCTCACGTGATCTTTGGTCTATTATTGATTATGGTAAAACTGCGTTTAGCATGCGATGGGTTTTTTTTCGAAAATTTTTTTTGGTACTTACGTATTTTTGTCTGAAAAATACGAATTTGATAATGAAAATGTGAACAAACCATTATTTATCAAGATATTTCACTATAAAATTACAAATTTCACCTTCTTTTCCGCCTGTCTTCTGGATTGAATTTAAAACAATTTACCCTTCTTTTTTCATCATTGAACAATTTATATACAGGGTGATTCAAAATTCGATGTAAATATTTCAAGGGCGTATTGTTGGGATCAAAATAAGACTTTTTCTTCAAATCAACATGTGTCCTAAAATGCACCCCCTCCGAGCTACAGCCCCTGTAAGTTGGGAAAAAAAACAAGATTATCTAAAACTGTGACTATAATAACGAATCGAATCTTCTGAAAATTGGCATACCCCTGTTTTTTTAGGCACTCTATTCTTTTTTTGCTCCAAAAATTATGTAAACCCAGTTTTGGGGGAGTTGGAGGGGGGTCCACACTTTTATTGGCCCAATTTTTATGTTCAAAAAGAGAAACTATGAATTCGAATAGCATAATCTTATTGGCCATAAAAAAAACTGAGAATTCCGTGTCTTGCATTTTTGTCATACAACTAACCGTTTGCCAGAAAATCGTAATCAACGAAAGGGGGGTACTTTCACAATATCAAACTAACTTTATTGGGTAATTAAATAATTATTAATCTCATAATAAATGTTGAAAATGTCCTCCCCTTGCTGCTATACAACTTTCCATTCTTCTTTGCATAGAACGTCGAACACGTTCTAAAATCCCAGGAGTGGTTCTTATGTTTTGGAAAGCATCAATGATGCATTGACGGAGGACCTCAACCGAATGCACGGGCCCAGCATCATAAACAGCACTTTTCACATATCCCCATAAAAAAAAGTCTAATGGGGTGCAATCCGGGGAACGTGGCGGCCAAGCTATTGGACCAGCTCTACCAATCCAACGATTTGGAAAAATAAGATTCAAATGATGGCGTACTGTTAAACGGAAATAAGGGGGAGCACCATCATGCATGAACCACATGCGTAGACGAATGTTAAAAGGCACATTTTCCAATAAACCGGGCAAATCGTTTTGCAAAAAATCTAGGTAAGTGTCCCCATTTAAAACTCTTGGAAAAAAGAAAGGACCAATAAGCTCATTTCCAACAATTCCTGCCCATACATTTAAACTGAACTGTTCCTGATGGCGGGATTGCCTTATTTCATGCGGATTTTCCAGTGCCCAAACATGTACATTGTGATAATTCACCACACCATCTCGCGTAAACTGAGATTCGTCGGTGAACAGGATCCGAGATAAAAAGTTAAGATCCCTCGTGCACTTCCTGGATATCCACCTAGCGAACTGCAAACGCCGCGGAAAATCCCGTGGCAGCAATCCTTGAACACGTTGGACGTGATATGGATATAAGCTGTTTTCGTGCATAACGCGCCACACAGTTGATTGGGAAATACCCAAATTTAAAGATATTTGTCTAGTACTCAACTGGGGATTTTCGTCGATCATATTTAAAATTTGTTCCTCTGTTACTGGGTGGCGAATTTCTCGTGGCCTGCCTGCATCATTTCTTACAGTTTGGAATTTGCCGTATTCACTGAGATGACGATGACAATTTGTAAATGTACGATGATCGGGGAGTCGGCGTTGAGGAAACCTAATTCCGTATAATCTTTGGGCTTCCAATGCGTTACCATCAGCCAGACCATAAACAAAATGAATGTCAGCAAGATGAGCGAAAGAGAATGGCACATTTTCCATTTTTAACTTAAAAACAAATTTCTTGATCGCAATAACAAGTGTAATCAACCAGCTAAAATCTGACAACTAACAATGATTAGTGTTTAATGACATTACCGAGGTGATGAGAGGGATTTATAAACAGTTGCCTGTTACCTACCTAATTTTGAATAGGGGGTGGCCGACAATTCCTGGGAGTAAAGTAAACGATATTTTACAGCTTGTGAATCCCTATAATTGATTTGTCCTTGAATAATGTCCTCCATGTATTTTCAATTTCTATGCTTGATTGACCAAAGGAGTTGTTGACTTGGATACAGGGATTATTTTAATTTTCGTTTAAACCAATGTTTGTGAAAATACCCCCTTTCGTTGATTACGATTTTCTGGCAAACGGTTAGTTGTAGGTATGACAAAAATGCAAGACACCGAATTCTCAGTTTTTTTTATGGCCAATAAGATTATGCTATTCGAATTCATAGTTTCTCTTTTTGAACATAAAAATTGGGCCAATAAAAGTGTGGACCCCCCTCCAACTCCCCCAAAACTGGGTTTACATAATTTTTGGAGCAAAAAAAGAATAGAGTGCCTAAAAAAACAGGGGTATGCCAATTTTCAGAAGATTCGATTCGTTATTATAGTCACAGTTTTAGATAATCTTGTTTTTTTTCCCAACTTACAGGGGCTGTAGCTCGGAGGGGGTGCATTTTAGGACACATGTTGATTTGAAGAAAAAGTCTTATTTTGATCCCAACAATACGCCCTTGAAATATTTACATCGAATTTTGAATCACCCTGTATATCACAATGTAAGACACATTTTTTTCTATTATTGAGTCAACTAGATATATGATTTTCTTGTGATTTATCCATATATAGTGAAAAAAAGGAAGAATATCATTTGAAATAATGGCGTGTGTAATGTCATTCCAAAGCAATCTATTGACATTTGACATCTCGTATTTGGATTGCCTATGGATTAAATGGCCGTCATCTGGTATGCTTGCTCACTAAATAGGAAAAAACTCACCATAAAAATCATATTTCCTGTTGAATTTTCTGTATAAAAATGTGTCATTAAAGTACATCATGAGTATATAAAGTGTCCAATGACAAAATAAGAAGAGCAAGTACCTGTAAATGCATCCAACGCAAGGGGAAAAAGGAGTCGAAATTTCGAACTTTTTTTTAGAAATATCTGGATAAATAGTGGTTTGTTCACATCTTCATTATCACATTCGTGTTTTTCAGACAAAAATACGTAACTACCAAAAAAAATTTTCGAAAAAAAAACCAACGCATGCTAAATGCAGTTTTACCTTGATTATAATACTGAATCATCATATTTTAATACTTACCATATTTATATTATACCAATCATTTTTGTTAAGAGTTTGAATTTTGCCGCCCCATGAGAACTAATAATTGTTTGAGTTTCGTTGTTTTTTGTCTTAGTCTGCGAGACATAACCTCATTGCTGCCAATGCTGTTATTGCTGTCTACACCGGCGTGGTGGCTCGAGTCTACACCGGTGTGCCTCGGGTCTATACACCGCCGTGACTTGGCACTCTGATGTATTTTTGGTTGCGTGATTACGAAGTGCGTGGTAGCGCTTGAATGTCTCGACCAAACTCTCGACAATGAGGCAAACTTCGAATTCAATAAAAAATATGATTCCCAAATCGTATCCCTTTCAATTTTTCTTATTCGGAAAGAAAGAAAGAAATTGAACATTTTTACACCACGAATAATTGTGAATTTAGTGCAAATGGCTCGTAATATGGGATATCCGAAAAAGCAGAGAGAGAATGATATGCTGTAAGACATGTATCATTTGAATACTTGATTTATCGTAACGGAGAAGGGAAACACGTGGATAACTTACGACAATGAAATGAAAAATGCGATGGAAAAGATTTTATCAACGCCGCAAGCAGTGATATTGTTATTAACGCCGAACATTGTGAACATACCAGGAATCTGGACTGTAGTAGTAACAATCATGTCAGTAACTTTTGGATGTTTCTTATTTCAAAAATATGATATATAGATACATTTTAGTGAAATGACCTATTATTATGTTTTACATGCTGTTCAAATAAATAACTGAACCCTGAGAACACTCTGCACACATAATAGAGGAGACATTTTTGAGGGATGTAGGACGAGAAAATTTGCTATAGCTACGGAGAACAACCTCATCAAATATGGCATTTATGGTTGAATTTCACTCAGCAAATAGACTATCAAAAACCAATATTTATTCTCAAACTTCACATAATCGTATTCCCTAGACGCTCATCATGAAGTGTGTAAAATTATAATTTTGTTACCAAACATTTAGAAATAACTTACAGTTCAGATGCAGCTGCTATTTGAAGTACATCACCAACATTGTTGTAGAACATGAAAAAGAGCAGGTCATCTTTATACCGACTCAATTTCATTGATGCAAGCTTATCCCTGAAACAAACAGTAATAATGAAAGATTTATTGTAATATGTAAGATGGTTGTTAACTACTTTGGGAATAGTTCAATTTAAATTATTGGATGAAGAGGAATAAATTTTTACCAACATTTCAAGAAACAGAAGAAAAATGTTATTACAGGTTGCCTAATGTCCATCACATTCCTTTGAGTGCTTCCAGTTCAGGGTTGCCAGTTCAATTTTTATTTCATCAGTAAATACCTTGTCAAAAATTCAGTAGATTTCAGTTGAATCATTTTATGCTACAAAATTGGAGTAGGATAATTAAATTGTTCTAAAAATTGTTCTTATCCATCATTCAGTTGCCCCCTTATGAGCAACCCTCAGAAGGCTTCAAGAGACTTGTGCGATCAAGGAATGACGTCAAAAAAACTATGTATTTTTCTGTGACGGGAAAAAAAGTTTGACATATTATCTCTGTTGACAGGTAACAAAATATCACTTTTCATAAAAATGTTCCTTTACATAGAAAAAAGTGAGTGAGTACTTTTTAACCAACATAATATCAACCCATTTGAATTTATAATCAGTGGCGCCTGAAAATTAATTTATACAGAGCATCCCCAAATATCACACAAGATAGTATGATAGATTATGTGATTTACTGATGATCAATATTTATAGGTAATTATAATATTAAATGAGTATCAAAATTCTTTTCAGTAGATCAATATGCAGATCAGTAAATCTACTGAAAATTCACAAGAGCTGGCAACCCTGTTTCAGTCAGGCAATGTCGAATGATACGCTCAAGAGCATGCCTCATGCCGGCCTGTTCATTTTCTATCCATTGGAGTTCGGGGAATCACTCACTTCCTACTTCATTCTTCAGTGGTTTCATAACTTTCACTGTGTTTTTTTTCTCACAATGAATGATACCAAAAGTGTTTCTTATCATCAGTGAGTTTGTGGGTAATGAGTGATTCATTATTTTAGTTTAAGATAAGAGAAATGAATGTTTTGGAAATCTTTGCCAAAGGAACTATTTTCAAGAACTTGAAGTCTCCAAAAGAAAAATCCCAATACTTACCTTCCCTTCCTATCCTCCCTCGGTACCTACGCACGAATATACATAATAGGGATTCTCTTTCGTGCGCTCTAGAATATTAAAAAAATTGTTTTTATATTTCCTCCCCAAAATTCGTAGGAATTAACTGCATATAACCATCGATTATCGATTGTGAAATTTGAAATTGATAAAACCACTAGTTGTTGTTCTGGAGATTTGTTAGGAAGCTTTGATAAGAAAGATCTGCTATAATGAATGATAACTTTCACAAAGCACTGTTTAATAAATTCGCCGTTTTTTGAAATAAAGTTCTCAAATCTGATTATTTGAAAGCTATGATACCAGAATACAGCATATTTCAGTCATTCCTCACTACTTTATTTATGGTTTATCAACCGTCCATAGTAGACCCTTCTCAACCTTTTCAATTCAACAGTGTACATGACAGATCCTAAATGCACATGAATCAGTTTCACCAGTTCAATCTCCTGAGAGGCTCAACTTTTTTCTTATGGAATTGGCGGTCTAGATAAGTGTAAATGTCAGTGGGGATAACCATGGTGAAATATAGTATTCGCGATAGAAAATAAGCATTCGCCATCTATCGGAGTTTTTGAAAGCTGTCAAAGCTGTCTGACTCTTTGTTTTCATTGGTTCACATTTGTTTTTTGTTTGTTCTTATTGGTCACATCCATCACAACAAATCGCTGAGAAGTGTTCAGACGTTGCCGTCAGGTGGGGCTACGTGTTATTTTCTATCGCTAATGGTGTGCTACTCACGAATCCAATATCCGTCTATTCTGCGCATGACGTCACTGCGAGCCTGTCACTGTCATCATTATGTGAAACAAATTGTAAATTAAATTAATTTTCAACATCATAAACTGGTAACAATGCCTGATTGTGCCATTTCTGGCTGCTCAGATACAAATACGAACACTAAGGGGATTAAGATAAAAAATTTCCGCTTCCTGAAAAATGATGACTTGTCCAAGCAATAGATTGAACCTCGCTGTTGAGATAGAATCAATTCAAAGAATGGTTGGTATATCATTCCAGGATGTTCACTATCAACATGAATTCTTTATATTACAGCAACAATATGTTCAAAACATTTCCTACCTAACTGTTTTCAAAGAAATTTGAATATCAATTAGCGATCTTTGCTGCTCCTAAAAATCACAGAAAGATAAATCTTCCTATTAATAATAGTTTTATATCCAAGTCACAACAACTTGATATGAAACTGTGAAACGTTGAAGAGTGAGTACAACAAAATGCAACAAATCATAGAAGTTGTCAATATTGAGACAGAGGCGGAACATACGCTGACCAATTGTTTTATAGTTTATGCGTCAGTTGAAAAACTTCCGTTTTTAAGGACGATACGAGGATTTGTCGATTTACTCAACATTGGAATAGGAATGAATGAGATATTTTCTACTGAGCTTTCCCGGTATGCAGTCTGTGCAGTCAACATGAACTGGACAAGCGTTGTCATGCTAGAAACCGCGTCACATTGGTTACTATACTGATTGCCGCTAGGCAGTGCGGTACGGTAATAAGACGAAGTTAGGTTGTCTTCATTGGTTCAACTCGAATTCAGAAAATTATTATTCCAATCATAGTGGTTTTGTGTTTCGGTTCGCAATTAAAATATGGAGTTCTGGAGGCCTTTTGAGGAAGTCAACGGAGTGAGTGATAGCGATCCGGAGGAAGAGCAAGCGGAGTTCGCCAATAAAGACTCAAACGCAAAAGGTAATTTTGAATATCTATTCGCGTCTCAAGGACGAGAATGATGATTCTTCAGAAAACCAATTTGTAAAGAGAATACAGGAATTGACTAAAATAAGCTATCCCACCATATATAGAGTTATTAGAACCGGAGATGTTGTGGATCATGAAGTTAAACGAAAAAGAGTGGGACAAAAACTTAAGAAGCTTGATGATGCTTCGAAAGAAGTAATTCGTCGAATTGTATACAGATTTTATAATGAGAATAAGGTGCCAACATTGCCAGATATCAGGGATAAGTTGAATGAATACGCGGATAATAATTATAAATCGTTAAGTACCTTGTGAAATGTTTTACTAGATTGCGGGTTCAGCCATAAGAAATTAGACAAAAGGATGGTGATTATGGAATCAAGACGCATCGTAGACCATCGGCAAGAATATCTACGTAAAATAAAGGAATTTCGTGAAGCGAATAGGCCTATAATTTATCTAGATGAAACGTGGTTCGACACTCATGACGTTGTTCAATACGGTTAGGTAGATGATAGCAAATACTGTAATTTGAGTGGTCCGAGTTCGAGAGGCAAAGAAATTATAATTCTTCACGCAAGCAATGAAAATGGATTTGTTGATAATGCATTGTTGTTGTCTGCCAAAAATATCAAGCAATCCTCTGCCGATTATCACGAGGATAGACGGCAGAATTTTGAGAAATGGGCAGAGCAGCAGCTTATACCAAAAATTCCAGGGAATCCAGTCATCCTTATGGATATTGCGTCATACCATTCATGTCAACAAACGAAAATACCGAGAACCAATATGAAAAATTCTGATATTATTCAATTTATGGAGAAAAAGGGCATGGAAATATCTCCTAAATAACTGAAGAAAGAATTACTGGAAATGATCAGGAAACAAAATTTCCCGAAGATTTATGTAGCTGATGAACTCTTTGGAACACACGGCCAAACTGACTCACGTTTGCCCCCATATTACTGTGTTTTTAACCCCACTGAGATGGTCTGGGCTACCATTAAATATTGTATCTTACCACATATCAATCCAGTGATCATTAGGGAAATGAAGATTCAAGTCCTGAAGAGTATTTGTGCGATGTGACATGTGTAGTGAAATTGTAGAACTGTCCCAATTACTAATTTCACCAAAAAACCCTTTCAGAATATACCATTTATTTGCTGAGAATTTTGATTAAGTTCAATGTTATTTATATTTTATATTAAACTTACCAATATTCCATACTCTCATGTTCCAAAATGGATAATTGGATATATAGGTAATTTTTGAAAAATCAAAAATTCATTTAAAAACAGCTTTTATTTGTGGTAGCGAAAAAAATATTTTACCCGCCGCTGTTGACTGCGGCTTGTCAAAGGATTTGCCGACATACAGCCGGTTAACATTTTTTTTTTGGCTTCTTCAATTTACTTTTCATAAACTATACTCGCAGTGACGTCCACTAAGATGCGTGATAGCACACCACACTGTATGTCCACAATGGGGATAGCCAATTCTCCTTCCCAACTCACCTGATGGCATGGTTGATGAGATACTCGGGCGGCACGTGGAAGTCGATGTCCTGCGGCCGGCATGGGTGGTCCGCCCACGGGCCGGCGAACGTCGGATAGAGGTTGTCGGGCGAGTTGAGATTCAGGCCGAGCGCCGTCAGGTCCTGGCCGAGCGCCAGCGAGACGAGGTTCGGGTCCGTCTCGGCCGCCCTGATGAAGGTCAGCAGGCCGACGATGCCGAACTGGTCGCTGACCATGCTGGCAGGGATGTCGGTGACCCTGCCGTCGGGGGACGTCTGGATGCCTGCGGATCGAGGATTAGCGATTCAGGAAATCTGGTGCAACCTCGCATTAGCATTCAGAGTTTTACGACGGCGTAGGACGAACGTGCTACGTTTATTATTGTTCAGTTAGCTTCGAGTTTGAACTCAAAGCTAGCCTTGATTTCGAGTGTGAACTTGAAGTTAGCACTAACTTCAAGTTTGAATTCAAAGCTAACCTTATAGTCCAAGAACCGGCTGCAAAGGACCCCGCACAAATCAAATGCAATTTTGATTTCTGTGAATTTACCTGAAATTTTGGGAGAAAGTAGTTCAAAGTGTGATGAACAAGTCTCCATGGGGTCAAACGATTTCGATGAGTAGTTTTCGTGCTACGCTCTCGTGAATCCTCTGATGCTACTTATAGAAAAAACTTGACTAAAGGATCTACAAAGGGGGTACACACGCACTTGTGAGATATCGAAATTGAATTCGGATTAGGTTAGGTTAGGTGGGTGTGTGTGGTTGTGTGGGTGCATTGTGGGTGTGTGTATACAGGGTCATACAAAGAGGACAAAGTACCTGTCACGTCCACGTTCGTTGGCCTTTAATGGCGCAAAGAACAGGTGATATGATAAATGATATAACAGTTGATAGATGCTAATGTATGTAAAATATAGTAATGAAATATAGCTCAACTAATCAACAAACTTCCTGAATTTCTGAATTTGATTTCATTATCTCACAAGTGCGTGTGTACCTCCTTTGTAGATCCTTTAGTAAAGTTTTTTTCTATACGTAGCATCACGTTCGTTGGCCTTGAGTTGCACAAAGAACAGGTGATATGATTTATGATATGACAGTTGATAGATGTTAATGTATGTAAAGTATAGTTATAAAATATAGCTTAACTAATCAGTTAACTTCCTGAATTCCTGATTTCGATTTCTATATCTCACTAGTGCGTCTGTACCTCCTTTGTAGATCATTTTGTCAAGTTTTTTTCTATACATAGCATCAGATGATTCACGAGAGCGTAGCACGAAAACTACTCATAGAAATCGTTTGACCGCATGGAGACTTTTGTTCAGCACACTTTCAACTACATTTCCCCGAAATTTCAGGTGATTGACAGAAATCAAAATTGCATTTGATTTGTGCGGGGTCCTTTCGACCGTCACCTGACAACAACGACAACTGTGTCATTCACTATCCTGAGCAATATGATTGAAAACTGACATTTTCTTGTGCGGCAATTTGCACTTAATTTCACGAATTGATGACGAGATAAGAATTATGTCATCTGATACCAATTGAATGGTATATCCCAAGAACCTACCTAAGCTTGCCCTTAATCTAGGTTAAATCCACGGCACAACGATTCATTTGCTGCTATTATTCCGGACATACTTTGGTCATGTGATACAGAGTTGAAACAAAAAACAAATAGAAGGGGAAAATATTCCTTTGCGAATATCCAAACGTGTCGCGATTCAAACTGATCTAAGGTGGTGGCAGAGCGTCAATATCTCCGAGAAAATTTCGCTCCTGTTGAAAGATGAAATCCGATGAACCAGTATAAAGCTCATGTTGTGCTCGCACTAAAAGTATTCAAATCCATAATAGGTTGAGTTCAACACTGGTCCATTGGATATTATCTGAGGGGCTAATTATTCTCTATAAATTTACGCTCTGCCACTAACTTAGATAAGTTGGATTCGCGGCACGTTTGTATATTCGAGAAGGAGACATTGTCCTCTTTTATTTGCTTTTCGTTTCAAGTTGTTATCACATGATGGAAGTATGTCTGGAATGATGGCAGCAAATAAAACGGTGTGCCGTGGCTTTGACTAAGATTATCGGATGGCATCATTCTTATCTCGTTATGAAATCGCGAAATTAAGTGCAAATTACCGCGCAGGAAAGTAACATTTTTCAATCATTGGCTCAGGATAGTACTGATTGGCACAGGTGCCGTTCGATTGAATATGATACTTTTACATGTCTTTGGGACAAAAGTCACTTTGTTATCAGATGACGATAAAAATTTGGAGCCGGCTCTTGGACTATACATTCGGAGAAGAATAGAGCAATATATCTTCCACAGTCTCCCATTTCTGCATAGCATCTCATCAACTAGGAGAGAGGATATGTGATATATTGTTACAATAAGGACAAATAGGTATACATCTAGGTACACATTTAATTTCTATGATTTTCTGTAGTAGGTAGGTATGTTCAAGATGAGATCAAAAATGTAAGAAATGCAAGCAATGGAAAAAACTTATACATATAAAAGAATAGACCAAAATAATGAAAGGTCTCAAAATATAGAATGTAGTTTTTTTATCGTTTGGTGCGCACGAAAGGGAATCCCTATAATGTTCACAGAACATCGTGCTTACCTAGGGAGGATAGGGAAAGGAGGTAGGAGTTGGATTTTTTCTTCCCTTTCAGGATTATGAGTTCCTGGAAATACTTTCTCAAGCAATGCATTCCAGAACTTTTCCGTTCTTTATAGAAACGAGTTTTGATTTGATAAAGTGCCTTTTGACACACTTCAAGGTCGACATGAATAAATAATATCCATGTCAAACAAACAAGAATTGATTATTGAAAAAAGGATCACAATACAACTATGATGAAAAAATGGGATAACATGAACCAGCAAATTATATAATTATCAAAAACATAACTTTCAGATTCCATAGAGATTCCAAAAAATACTATGATTATAGGATGATGTTCCTAATAGGAATTGAATGAATATTCAACATATTTTACTAAAAAATATTGACTGAACCAATATTCTATACCAGCAGCTACAAATAAAATGAATTGATTATTAGCATTTGACTGTTGAAAATTGCATCCTCTTATTTTTCTCCACTCAAAGAAACTTTGAATTTTATGTCATATAATATGTTCATATTCTGTTAATTCTCACATGTTTATCTATGTTTGTCACTGCTTGTCAGAGTGTCAGTATTCCCTACAGAATTTAAAAAAGTAGAAAGTCATTCAACTTCCCATAATGTTCTATTACTTCCATATATGTCAGGTACCTTGTAAGTGTATATTTAGAAGTTGTTGAATATCCCAACAAGTTTCTGTGAAGCTGATTTTTTGATAGATCTCTTTGACAATTATTTAAAAAATGAAAATTTTGTAGTGGTCAAGCTGTACAGGAGCTTAGAACATGTGGACAAATTTGAAATGTTCAAATTCCTAGAACAGTTATTAAGCATCATTCATCAATGAATTACCTCCTACAGGAATTGGTGAGATGCTGATACAAAAGTTCATCCCCTTCTTCATGATAAATTCCACTGATAACTACCTATGGCCTTGCAAATTTTTTCTCATAAGTTCACTAATTGGAAAAGTTATTATTTTAGAGAAATTTAATAGATAGATAAAAAAAAGCCCTCAGGTGTCCTATTGACAATTGCATTTTTTCTCAACAAAGTCAATGAAAAATCCCATAAATGATGTTTCCTTATGTGTTCCTGAATTTGTGATAGAAAATAAGATGTAGAATTTTCAATATATTGAATAATCATATTAATTCTGGTGGAAAGAAATTTGATATATTATTAGGAATTATTTGAATATTCAGATATTCCATATATAGATTTTTTTTAAGTTTGTTAGTTGGCTAAAAAGGCTTGGTGAAGTGATTTCAAGAGTGATGCAAATCTATAGGAGAAGATCAATACATTCATAATAGAAGCTTCATTATTAGTAGCTGCTTCAGTAAAAAATGATATTATTATGGAGAATCTGACGTCAATGTCATAAGAATTATATGGCATGATTTGCTAGCAATCTATCAACTTTTTCTACTCCGATAATATAATAGGTGAATGAAATGATTGATTAAAATTGTTCATTTCAACAATTTCATTATGAAATTTTACTCAGTCTATGGAAACATGTTCTTGGAGATAATCAGGTGGTTCATGTTTCTTATTTGGGTTGTTGGACATTCAATTTCAATTGACATTCAAAATCACAATATGTTTAAAGTACAATCAATTCATGGAATGCTGATGATCACGTAATGACTATTACACTCCCACATGGTTTACTACACTCAAATATAGTTTAATACACCCCAACATGGTTTACTATACTCACACACAGTTTACTACAATTGCACCTGGTTTACTACAGTACACTCACACAAGGTTTACTACACTAGCACATGGTTTACTACACTCAGACACAGTTTACTATACTAGCACCTAGTTTACTGCATAAGCACACAGTTTGCTACACTAGCATATGGTTTACTATACTTCCACATGGTTTGGGACAATAGCTATCTATACATGATCATTGCATAAAATACTATTTTCTGACTGGTTATGAAATAGATGATATCAAGTAATCAAGTCATCAAGATAGTATATTTTGGTCAATTTAAGGGTCTCAAGATCAAGATAAATAAACAGAGTCCAGCAAACTCACCATAATTGACAATATCAATTCTTTGTACACCATTGATTCCAAAAGAACTGTAAATCACATCACAATACCACTTACAACTAATAATTTCAAATAATGAGTTGTTTCCTTACCTGTCTTGGAACAGCTTTTCTCTCCTTCCCTGGAATTAAGCCCATCCCCAGCCCCACCAGAAATGTTCTTATCACCAGATGAATTGCTGCCAGGTGATGCACCTTCTCTATTCTGAGTACCAGGCAGGGCAGGGAAGTCTTCAGAGGACATTGTGAACTCACTTGATTCTGAAGTTGGCTGTTTGACCATACCCACATAAGGTTTTCCACCAGGCATAGGACTTGGTTGAGGGACGTTATCACCTGAACTTCGATTTGTTAATGATGGGAACTCACTAAGGTCTAAGAGAGAAGGAGTGTTCGTGTCTCCTGACCCAAACACGGAATTGAAGGAACTGTAACCTCCCAAGGTGTTCATGTTACCCATTTGATTACTATTTCTGAAAGCAAAACATGACCATGTAATCAAACTGTTGGTAAAAAATAGGTGTTTTTGGAATAACAGTGAATGAAACTGTGAAGTGAAATATTACCTGCTGATTAAATAAATCTCTTTAAATAAAATGAAAATAAAAATATTATTGTAGAGGACAAATTGAATGAAGCACATTAGTAAAATGGCTAAAAATATATCTTATCTGTGTTAACATAAACAGGTTATGTTATATTGACAATATTTGACAGAAACAACTATAAGTAATTGAACAAGCAACTTTCTGAAAGATATAATACAGGCATAGACAATTTTTGTTCCAGACATCTCTAATCTACTTCTAATATCAATGTATGGGTAAAATAATTGGATCTAATGAAACAAAAGTTCTTTGAAGCAAATATTAGAGTAATTCTCATTTCAGATTAACAGATCTAGATGAACCACATATAAGAGATACAATGTACATTATTGAAGCAAGTTAAATACTGAAGAAAACAAAAAACATGCTTGTACATGCATGTAAACAGAATTTTCAGAAACAATTATATTTTACCCCATAGCAGGTAGGGTTCTTCTCTCAGACGGTGTTCTTTGCCCAAACACAGGAGTAACATGTCCAGACATAGAATTATTTCCAAAACTAACACTTGTTCTTCCGAGGCTGTTACCTCCAATATTCCTTGTAAAGTTCAAGTTCGCCATAGCTATCTGGTATTAGGTGAGCCACTTCCGAGCATAACGAAGTACTTGGTATTTTATTCAAGTTCTGCACAAAAACCTTATTTAAACTATTATCACAAAAAATACAAATGGTATCAATTCATACTGCCGAATAAATGCACAAGTTGAAAGAAAACAAATCTTAGCAAAGACAAATTGTTTGAAACACTATTGCAAATTGTGATATTTGAAAAGGAAAATGTACCGCAAGAAAAACTCTGTTAAATTCAGTGAAATAAATGTTATTGTCCCTCTGTTCTCCGCCATTACAATTTAACAACTGTCACATACGTCAAAATAAATACTGACTGACATGTGACAGGGACAGGATGCTTTTGTGTTCATATAATTATTCTGAGACAAGTGGATCACGGCAGGAAGCAATCGTTGTCGCTGCTAGCGAGTGCGATCGAGCGAGTCATTGTGATCATGCGAGCAACCGAAGTTCATCACTGCTCGAACTGAGATCGACCAAATTAAAGAAATATTCCTAGAAGTCAATTTTGTCTTACGAATAACGAATCACTTGTATCAGACAAGTGATTTTTTCCTGAATGCCTATTAATTTCGGTTTAGCCAGGGCACGCTAGACACCTACAGACCGGTTTCGAGTTCTTCAACTCTAATCAGTGCAGGGCAGTCTGCAGCCATCAGTCTTAAGACCGCCGACTAAGCGTAGCCTAGCCAAACAAAAATCAAGTAGGCATTATATTCCTCCCAGAGGCGTCCTCCATAGTCAATATGAGAGCAACGCCATCTGAGTATAAAACAACGAAAGAAACTCCAAAACCAAAATTCCTGGTCTAAAGACTGCTGGCTGGAGACTGCCCTACTGATGAGAGTCAAAGAGCTCGAAACCGGTCTAGCGTGGCCTCGCTAAAGCTAAATCAACAGGCATTGAGGAAAGAATCAGTATTCGTTTATACGGGTCGATGCATAGATTTTGGGATAATGTAATTCAATGTTCTGCATGGCATTCCCGAATCTACCATTGTTGTTCATTTTATGAACATTGTGTGGAAATAACTGTGGGCCTTTTGTATTTATTTAATATGCTATTCCACTTTGAGCATTGTGGTTATTTCGTAGTTGATTTAACGTATGTATTAATTCATGTCTGTATTGTACGAGAGCACTTCGGTGACACGCACACTTTTTCCTCATTATGATGAATAAAGCCGACAAGTCGTTTCCCCTTGAATCAGAAATCGACGGGTCCGAGCGTTTTCTTTTTAAAGCACTAATATCGGGGTGTAAAGTTTTTGTTGGACCACCCCGTATCATAGAAGAATACTACTTGAATGTATCATTAGATCGGAACAGCGAGCCAAGCGTGCGATTGACACAAGCGGCTCGGCTCGGGTTCAACAATTCTTGCGAGTGATATTTTTTTTCATTTTGGGTTTGCTCCGTAAATCGACTTCGTTATTTCGGTTATAGATGTCGGTTGCTGAAAAAGCGGTAGATTCACTGTCCCCAGAAAGACCGTAGATTTCATCTAGTAAGTTCGGTGAGTTTGAGTTGACGTTGACGAATTTTAGTTTCCGGTTTGAATTTCCGATTCACAAATCACAACGAAAAACAATATTCCCATCCCAATAAGGAATACGCATGATTTTTTGTTTAATCGAAATTATATTCCTTCTTCCTTATAATAACATTGGATATCATTCATTAATCTCAAATTTGCTTGTGACTCTGAAAAATTTCATTTAAATGAGGCTAAATATGAAGTCACAGGAGAACAGGTTAGTGGCCATCACTAATATTATGACGTCATAGTATTAGGCCGCACAGCCATAGACTAGCGCGACAGAATGACAAGATTCAGATTGAAAAAAAAAGAAGAAGAGGTAGGAGAAGAAAACAGTTTTAAACGCCAGAAATTTGAAATTGGAAAATGATAATGTTTATACCAAATACTGTTTAGTGCCGCAATGCCTTTCATCAACAAAAGTATCACCAGGAAAAATATTCCTTTTATTGCCAGTGGGATCGAGTGATAAAAATAAAGAGAAAAGAAAATTATGGTTTCAAGCCATAAATAGAAATGATTTATCCGAGAAAACCAGAGGATTTGTTTGTGAAGACTGAGTGAAGACCATTTCGATTAGGAGAATAATATAATATGTGATTTCGTTTTCAGCTTGAAGAAGATATGGAAAACTATATGAGATATAAATTGATAGGTGGTAATATATATTTGGAACAACATGCAAAAAGAAGTCCTGTTTGATCATTCTTATTGTAAATATTTGCATATTATTCAGTTATTATTATTCAGAATATTGAAATCATATAATTGAGATAGATTATAGAAACTACAAGCTCAGATAATCATAACCTCACTTTCTCTTCTTATATTATTTTCAATCTTTCGGACATGAATATTTGACATGACAAATAAAAACAGCCACATCCAGTCGGAAATCATCGCTGCAGTTCGGCTGTTGGTCGGAAAGTTGCAAATATTATGATTTTCAATCAGAAATTATTAAATATTCGGTGATTAATAATGTTTTTCGGATGTATAATTCGACATCTATACATATGAGTAATGGAACAAAAATATATTCCAGTGTAAAATTTTCACACGCGTATACCCTATTATTGAGGGATTCGCTTACTGAGGTACGATATATTTTCAGTTTGATGACTTTTCTTCTATGTTAGGACACTAACGTTCTGAGTGAATTTCAATGAAAAAAAATTGACCAAGAAAACGAGGAAATTGACAAATTTCATGGTTTTCTATCCAAAACTTATTTGGCAGAACACTTTTCGGACCATTTGGAGCTGGCAGAATAGTTCGCATAAGCTTCCCGTGTGTAATGATGAAGTTGTGTGCAAAATTTGAAGCTTGTGCGAATTGGTCAAATTTTCGAGATTTTTTGCCGGAAAATTACTTGTCAGAACACTATTCCAACTGAACAAGGCTGGCAGGATAGTTTGCATAAGCTTTCTGTATACAGGGTGAGTCATAACTATTGGGTCATATGCTAAGGGCGGATTGTTTGGACCAAAATTGGTAATTTTGTTCAAGAACGATATTATTTGATATGTGAAAAGTGTGCTTCGGGCTGTCAGATAATTGTTGCCTGTCAATTACATTTCTTGTAAGTGATAAATTTTGATGTAATTATATAGTCAATACTTTTTCGTTTGAAAAGCCCTGTATCTTTTTCCTCAGCAATATTTTATTGGGGCATGTTCTATCGCCATATTTTGCTCCAAACGATCTGCCCTTAGTCTATGTCCCAATAGTGATGACTCACCCTGTATATCATCACGATGTCGTATGCAAAGTTTGGAACTTGTGCACATTAGTTGAATTTTCAAGTTTTTCCTCTCGGAAAATGACATGGCAGAACGCTTTTCGGGCAGTTTCAAGGTGGCATCAGAATGGTATTAGAGGGCTCTGTTTAACATTATAACTTCGTATTTACCATTTTGGAGTTTGTGCAGATTGTTTAAAATTTTTCCGTAGAAAAACCCTTGGCAAAACGATTTTCCGACCAGTCAGACTTGGCAAAATAGTTCGGTATGCAGATCGGTTAAATTACTTCGCTATTTCACAATATTGATGATTGTTTATTAACAAAATAGGTCGGATTTGGGGTGGCAGAAACTTGAATTTGTTAATAGTAAGTGTTCTGGCATATGAGTGACATTCGAAACTTGTGCAGATCCGTCGTGTTTTCCTGCCATAAGCTCCCCTACTATTTGCATCAGTTCGCATGACATTCATATTATAATTATCGCCGGCAGCCAGCAGCGCCAACCACAGCTAGAGTCCCTGTATATACCTTAGACAAGAGTCCGGACACAAAACTGACAGCCGTTGGGGTTTTTAATATTTTGTTTCATTTGGTTTGCCCACCTGACAATGTGACGAAACACCATAGTCGTCCCGCCCGCTTCTTTCAATTATTCCGAATGTCTGTCACTGTCACTTTGAAATTTTATGACCGCCAAAATTTAGCATTTTAAATTATTTCAATGTCCTGCTGCGTACATTATTGCGATAATTCATTAGAAAAGGGATTCAAGTTATTTAATTCTCCGAATGATCCTTCGAAGACAATGTCATGGAAGAATGCAATGAAACGTCCAGAATGGAAAATTAATTTCAAGAAATCCGCAATATGTGAGGTAAATATTCAAATTTACTTGTGAAAACAGTACAAAAAGGATGAATTTTAGGCCCATTTTGATAGGGATTTTTTCAAGCTGATGGATTTCAAATTGAAAGAGTCTGCTGTGCCGTCAATTTATGAAATAGAAACGTTCAAAAAAAGAGTCCCGTCGTCATCGTATTGGGAATTACTGAATGATACGTTCGCAGAAAAAGAAAATGAGAATGAGATGATGCGGAAAGAAATTGAAAGTTTGAAATCAAAACTAGAAGATTTAGGGAAACTGCAATGTGCTATATCATCAGTACACGGTGTTATTAATTCAGATCAAATTCAAAATGTACAGGTGAATGTAGACTGCAGAAAGAGGTGGGAAACACAATTAATAAAGCACTCGCTATCAAATATATTGTTCTTTTGATTTTGTCACTTTTGTTTCTGATGAGTGTTATTAAATTGAGAGAATCGGAGAAAATTATATTGAAACAATTATATATCTTCTATTTTTTTATATCCCAACAGAAAACAACTATATTTTCTTGGCTATATGTGATACCACGTAGAACACTTGAATTATCTTTCTTATATCTAATGAAGTGAAGAAATATCTGATGACAAAAATTTGCAATAGCCATCTCAGGAATTGATTATGAAAATTATCGATTCGAAATTTGAACACCCTGTTGTTCATTATTCGAAAATCTAATAGTTATTCTAGTTAAAATAGCCCTATTTCTCACTTCTACCTACGGCTATGAACGGTTTGACAAATAATCTAACCCTCAAAAGGGTTTCTGACAATCATTGATACTAGGGGAATTGAGAAGACAGAGCTCGATATATATGTCTTATTCCTTTATTCAATCATCAATGCATTTTTTGAAAACAGAAAAGGACAGAAGTATAGCTGTGTCCGGACTCCATAGCCTCCTGCCGCGAGCCACTTGTTCTCGTGCTTGGGCCACCAAGTTTGTTGACACTGTTGACAGACAGTTTTGGTATTGACACTTTTAGCTTTTGGCATCCTTTGATATTTCAATTTTGTATTTTTATTTCTAAAAAATTTAGTAATATCACAGGTTCACAGTAGAGAGATTGTAATATAATATACAATATAGTAATCAAAGAAAAGGGAAAAGAGC